TGAAGCCTTGTATGGGTAACAATGTAGATCTCTCGTGTATTGGGATGAAATAGGAGAAAGAAAGTTGCTAGGTTAGAATTGGTGCGACGGACGGTCGAAGTGGTAGACCAAATTCACAATAAGATGAAAGCGACTCAAAGCGGACAAAAGAGTTATGGCGATAAAAGGAGGAAGGATCTAGAGTTCATGGTCAATGATTATGTGTTTCTAAGAGTCTCATTGATGAAGGATGTACTACGGTTTGGGAAAAAGAAAAGTTAAGCCCGCGATACATAGGACCATTCGAGATACTTGGATCAAGTAGGAGATAAAACACATCGTCCGTTGCTACCACCCTCCTTAGCAGGAGTACATAATGTATTTCATATGACTATGCTAAGGAAGTTCATTGGAGAGCCGAGTCAAATCTTGAATACAAAGCCACCAAATCTTACTTCGATTTAACATACGAAGAAAGACCGATCCAGATTCTCGATAGACGAGTCAAACGATTAAAAAATAAGAAGATCGGGTTAGTTAAGGTTTTGTGGAAAAACCATAACCTCAAAAAAATGACTTAGAAACGTGAGGAAGAAATGAGAGATAAATACCCCGAGTTATTCGAATAGGTTAATTTCGAGGATGAAATTCTTTTAAGGGGAGAGAAATGTAACCCCGTGAAAATCTTTAATGATATATATATATATGCGGGAATATGTGTGTAATTGTACATTAAGTACGAGTGCAACTGTAGGTGTCATTTTACCTGTTTAGTGATGATAATTATTTAGCACTTATGTGAGAATTTTGAGGTGAAGTTTCAAATAAATTAATTAATTACTAGTCATTATATATGAAGTACTTAGGACATATTATACAAGTGAAATAGGGTTATGTATAAAATTTTGAAAATGTAGGAATATTTTCCTTAGAAATATCGAATGAAAGGGAAAGGAATGTTCGAATTTTAGAGGGGAAATTTACGAAGATTTATGAAGGAAAATATGTTTAGTTACTTGAACCAAGTTAGTTAGGAGGTTTAGTTAGCATAAGTATTTAGTTAGACTCCTAAGCAATACATTAAATGAATGAATGGCCAACTCACCCAAAATTACCACCCAAACACGCCACCTTCACCATGACTCACCTACTTGCTTTACACTTTGTCTAATAAATTCAAGACACCAATAGCCTTAGTTTTTGTAAGGAAATGCAAGGCATGTATATATAGGAAAGAGAGGGAATGACAGAAATTTTGAAAAAATTAGTAGTTGCCAAAGGAGAAAAGAAAAACCAAGTGTGAGGAAGAGAAAAACAACAAGAAAGAGAGAAAGAAAAAGGAAAGGAAAGGAAAATAAAGAAGAAAAGCTAAGGAAACCTAACCTCATCCAAACTTGGTAAGTGGGTCACCTTTTATTTGTTTATACCATTTATTTAATCTTTATGAAATTGACTAAACATGTGTTTAGGTGGTGATATGTTGTTGTGATTAGTTATGTTGATTGATTTACCTTACAATTCTTATTGGTATAGTTGATTGTATTGATTGGTTGTGTTGGTTGCTTCCTAAAATTTAGAAAGCCTTGTATATGGTGAAATTCATGTTTAGGGATGCGAATGATGGAATTGGGTTACACAAAACATGGTGGATAAATTTGAGACTTGTACGGACTTGAATAAAATAGAGTAGGAAGGAAGAAAAATAAAATTTTAGAGTTCTTCTTAAGTAAACTTTCGGGTCGGAGAGTTACAAGGTCTCCCACACGGGTGTGTCTTTACTCGTGTAATGAAAAAATATGTTTTTCTTTAATTCATAGAGTTACACGACCTCCCACATGGGTGTGTTCTTGCCCGTGTAATGAAGAAATATGTTTTTTTGCAAGTCGGAGAGTTACACGACCTCCCACACGGGTGTGTCCTTCCCGTATAATGAAGAAATGTATTTTTCTTCAAGTCGAGAGTTACATGGCCTCCCACGTGGGTTGTCCTTACCCGTGTAATGAAGAAATGTATTTTTCTTAAAGTCGGAGAGTTACACAACCTCCCACATAAGCGAGTCCTTGCCCGTGTAACGAAGAAATGTGTTTTTCTTCGGTCGGACAATTACATGGCCTCCCATATGGGCGTGTCTTTGCCCTCGTAATTCACTCGGTCACTCGAAATTCATCACTTTTACTTCATACTCGCTTGGTTTTCGTTCTTTTTCACTAAGATAATGTAATTAATGGTCAATAAGGCTCAAATAGATATAAAATAAAAATAGAAAAATATACCTTAAAATGAGTGAAAATGGATTCACATGCTAACAATTATTCAAGTCATAGTGGAACAAATTAATGATTAGAATTATGATAGGAAACAAAAGGAAAGTAACCACATACACAATTAGACCCACAACTAAATCAATACCAAACATCGGTCTTTAATTCTAACAAAGGAAAACATGATGATATGAAGTCGAGTCCTGTATGGGTTGGATATGTTTAACATGGTAATGTCATTGTGGTATCACGTGCATCAATAGGAAAGAAATAGGAACAGAATCAATTAATTGAGAATTGAGTTGTATGAATAGGTTTGATAACATAATCGAATAAAAAGGATTAGCAAGTCTAGTCGTGTGCATACTCTAAGCTATGTACCGCACTCGTTAGGCAATGGATTTCCATCAACAGTGGCTACAACGAGGGATAATTTTGTTATTAGCATTCGGTGATTTGGTAATCACCTATAGAGTAGACCACAAATACCCGTGGTACCTGAATTAAAAATTGATGAGAATGATGGAAAGTCGGAAAAGCATTGCATATCACGTGCATCACCCTACTTACTAAGCTTCGGCTCACTTCGTTATTATTTACATGTTATGACGAGTAGCGGTGACTATAGTACCAATAAGGACGCTATCGGATCCTTCAAAAGGGCTCGGAGGTGACATAAACTTTAGGGAATTTTGTTTTGTTTGTAAATTTTATAGTTAGGGGAGTCGATGAATATTTTGTTGATATTGTAAATAAATTTTATAATTTCTTCTATTGTATTGTTAACATTATGTAAATTGTCTTAGACGCGTTTCATTATATGATAAGTTCTTAACGTATGAATACGTATATGCTTAAGGTCAATTAAAAAATTAGTTGTGTCGGCATGACGCGCTCCTCGCCTAGCCACTCCTTTTGGGTAATTGGCAAGTGGGCCAAGGAGGAGGCGTTACATTAGTAATTAAGGACATGACGCTTAATATCTTGTATTCATTGCACTTAGAATGTAAGGCATTGTTAGTAATACTAATTAAATTGGTAATTAATTAAGTAAAAGCAAATTGATTATGAAGATGATTATTTTCCAATTAATTTAATTTCTAAAGAAAAATAGTAGGGATTTAATACAATATATTAGACTAAATTGATCATTTCATAGTAATATAAATATATACATTTAATTCGAATTTAAGAAAAATATTTAGAAAAAATTAAAGAGGCAAATTAGTTTATTTTAATTCAAAGTAATTTATTAAAGTCATGAAATTAAATTTTATAAATATAAGTTTTTTTTTACCCAAAGTTTTGGTAAGTATCTTTACATATTATTTTATTTAAGGAATTTTTTTGTTAAAAGAATTTATCTTGGAAAACTTTATACCCGAGTTTATTTAAATTATGGACCCAATTAATTAAATCAAATGGTCTTCCGCAAAGTAATTTAATAATTTAGATAGTAATTAGTAATTAAGGACATGACGGTTAATATCCCGTATTCATTGCACTTAGAATGTAAGGCATTATCGATAATACTCTCTACCTATTTAGGTCCTAGGTCAAAGATGTTATATTCTCATTTTGAGAAATATCGCCTTCATCTTGAAGATTCTCATAGTTATTTTCTACAATGTCTCATACATTTTGAGAGCCATGTAATGCTTTCATATGAAGACACCAACTCTCGTTATTTTCTTTTGTAAGACGAGAAATATAAAATGAAAGAATTTCATTGTTTGCTATCTCTCTAATTTTTCACTCAATACTCTTTTCGACTCTTAGGATCTTGACCCCGATATCCTTTTGTTGGAGGAGAGGAATTATAGAGGTGAAATATTTCAATACTCCTTATGCTTCACTCATAATTTCAAATGTCAAATATAGAGGGCATATATAGGTAATCCTAAATCTTTATTACATGAACCATATTAATAACCAATACATGAACCATAATATATACTAAGTATATGAACTCTCACATACAAAGCACATACACTCATAATGAACTTAATCATCTAAACCATCAAAAGACACGCGTATCTTGTCATAAGAGAAATCTAGAAAATTCAAATTATTTATTTTTAACAGTAACTAGGGGCAACATACATACAATAATAACATAAAAACAGAGTGCTTTATCACATAAATGAGGCTCCCATGGGCTGCATTTCCATTAAAAAAACCGCAAACCATACAAGCTACCTTGACAGTGAGGTCACTCGGGTCAGCCTTAAAATCATGCTGAGGTATTGACCTCTTTAGAAACCTGCTCAACTGTTTGTTTACCTTCAAGTACACTCAGAATTTGAGACATTGAAGGCCTGATAGAAGGCGACAAATCGACGCACATAATTGCTAAGGTCAGGACGGTGTTGGCTTGATCCCAATTATATCGGATCATTCTTTCATCGACTAATTCTGCAAGTTTGCCCTTCGCATGTAATTTACCAGCCTGCGTTTGTGTAACCTCATTAGTTTTATAGACATCGGCAAAGACTATCACATGTTCATAAAAATTTTAGATCGTAGAATTTAGTACTTTGCTCGTACCGTATTGAGAAGGAAAACAGATTCTTGGTTCCCACTATAATCTGCATTATTTTTGCCACTAACGATTTCAAGAAGAAGGATCCCGAAACTATAGACATCAATTTTAACAGTGATGGCTCCTCTGGTTGCATACTCTGGTGCCATGTATGAACTGCAACAACGGAAGCCTTACATTATTAAGTAAAGTGGAAAATAGAAAATGAGCAGTGTTACTTACGCGTCTCCTCCGGCTTGCATGATATTATATTGACTTTCCTCCTCATAAAACTTAGCCAAACCAAAGTCTGATATTTTGGCATTACATTTGGTATCAAGCCGTTCGCTATTCCCCAGCAGAATATTAGTGGATTTGATATTTCTGTGAATTATTTGTGGTTCCTTCTCATGAAGATGCTTCAAACCCTTCGCTATTCCCCAGCAGATATTAAATCTATTTTCCCAATTAAGATCCACTGTAGAATTTGAATCTGCATATCCCAACATGAATGGTCAATAACCCCGCTATGTTCTTCGCTGAAAAGTTCTCAAGATATCAGATGTAACGATAAGTAAAAGCATACCATTGAAATCTGGTTCCCAATCTAGTCTACCATTGATCAAACACCTTTAAAAAATTGAAATGGCCAGAATTTTTACCATTTTCTCCTAGTACAATTCACATGAAATAAAAAGGCCACAGTGCGCAGTGCAAGATGTCAAACAAAAATTCTGGCGACACAAACAGAAGGAAAATGCTTTTCCAAATTTATAATAAGCAAGTTTGGGTATAAGAGGTACAAGGAAATTACCAAACAAAGCCTGCTTAAGTGATCCATGTTCCATATATTCATATATTAGCAAATGTAGTTGATTTTTGGAGTAAGTAGCAAGCAATGGAACGAGATTCTCATGTTTCAAGTCTAAGACCTTCTTGGCATAAACTTCTCGTGCTATTTCGTCGACTGCTTTTGACCGAGAGAACAGCTTCTTCACTGCAACAGTAAGACCCGGCAGTTCACCCTGTATCCATGACAGGTCAAAAGTTGAAATAAAAGAATAAAATAAAACATCCCTTCAAGGACAAAAATTTCTCAGTAAGAGAGTATTTTAACCTTGTATACTATCCCAGAACGCCCCCTGCCAAGCTCCGTCTTAAATTTATTAGTTGCATCAATGATCTGTTTGAGGGTGAAATCTCTTTCTCGGATCGTCACTTTTGTTTCTATTCCAATAACAGATGATTTAATTTAGTTAAACCATTTTCTTTAAAAAATTATTCTTATAGATAACAGACGTTCATAGATTTTCTTTGCTTAATGTTTACCGCGTAATTCTCTGTCTCCTATCCAGCCCATTCTCCACATAAAGGCCAACAGCAGCAGCAGAAACAAAATACAGCTTACTGTAATTACCACGATTTCCCAAGGATGTAGTTTTCTGGGAACTTTGGAAACAGAAAACAACAGCTTGTAAACAGAAAGCAATAAATTATTCCGAGTAACTGAATTCTGGGTTTTATCAGAAAAGGGAAAGTCTTGCTTCCTACCACGGGTGACTGAAATAGCTGATACGAGAGGTCCATTGATAGCAGGTGGATTGTACAGAGAACCTTTGCCAGCCCAGAAGAACTGGATCTCCAACGAACCATCATGTATTGTGGTGCGGAATCTTAGCTTTCGTTCTTCATTTTGTTCTCCAGGGATTTCCTTTATGTTGAGATCTTTCATCACGTTTTGTTTCTGCAATCAAGAGTTCCTTAATAGTGTATATGACATTAGTACATAAATTGACATTCTGAAAAGTGAAATACTTACCTGAATATATACATCAAAAACGCGTTTCCCAACTCTGCTGTTATCTTCTTCCTTCGAAAATAATGTTTCAGCAAAATGAGGTGTCACAAAGTACGTGCCTTTACGCAAGCAGAGCCCATAATACGTCAGAGAGACTGGAGCAAGGCGAAAATTGTTTTGTAACTTTGCCTCAGGACTAGACACTTCACACGTTGAGTTTCTTACTAAAGTACTGTTATTGATTGTGGCCCAAAAGTAGTCTCCAGAAAAGCTATAAGCCCAATCCTCAGATGGACTTCGATTAAAACTTGCTGTTGAGGTATCGTTATGATAATGATCCTTTCCTATTGTTACCTCCTCACCACCACTATTTATAAACAAGGAATTATCTGCAAGAAAACTCATTTTAGTGGAAATACGATCGTACCCTGCAATGGAAATATTTCTCTTCATACTAGTCTTAAGGCCTACCTTCTGATTGTAGCGACTCCCTTAAACTTGCAAGGATGTCATACCATTCACTTCAAACCCTTTCTTTAGAATTTGAGTTTGAAAAGTACATTTTGTAAGAGGAAACTGTCTAACTATTATCTACTTAATTTGTTGTTAGAGCTAATCTAGTCTCTATTATGATAATAGGAATTCCTTATTCTGCTAACTATTACTAACTATGAACTAATGTTAAGTCCTTGACTGTCTAACTATTATCTACGCCAAAAAATAAAATTGGATAAGGAATTTCAATTTCATAGTCAGTATCTGCTAGACAAATTCAATTAGCATTCAAAAAGAAAAAAAGAGCATACGCTTTCGATGACATTTTTCCATCCGCATCTCAGCTATGAAATATCTGAGAAATTAACACAGAATTTTGTTAGAAATAGTTCAGAGTTACTCTTATTGCAGAATATGAGAAAATAAATTTACTACATACCTTGTCGGGTGACTGGAAAAGCACCAAATCATGAAATCAGACAAAAAAATCAGTAAGAAAATATCATAAGTACTGATTTACGAAAGTTAACTAAAATTGTCAAATAATGCGAAATGGATCGGAGTTTGATCTGTCTACGTACATGTTTACATCTTCCAGTCCCAAACATTTTATGTTTTCACATTTCACATTGAAATCATTGTACGAAAGATCCCTGAAAAGAAAAAAAATTCAAAAAATGAAGCTTACATAATTTAAATTACTCCCTCAAACACTTACATTAGATTAACGTTAAGGCAAAAATGAAAAACAAAATCAGGTAAAGAAAAATAGAAATTACCGTTGTACAAATAATAAATTGGTAATGCACTCCGAAAATATATCTTTAAAAATAATTTATGGTTAATTAAAATTTTTATACAATTTTAATGTTATAACACATTCCATGTAATCCTCCTATCCCTTCTCTAATTCATATGTATATTACATTCTTAGAAGAAATTTTTTTTATTAATTCCTAAAAATTGTATTATCAAATAACTCATGACTTTTCAAGTATCTTATGGATATTTTATTTTGATTATGACAACTCTAATATCTAAGAATGTTTTAAAACAAGCTAATGAGAATCAATATTGAAATCCAAATAAAAAATTAATAAATTACATAAAAATTGATTAACACCAAACATTGAAATTATCAAATATTTATTTTATTTTATTCTTTATCATATAATAAAACTAAGTACATTATTGAAATCCAGATAAAAAAAATAAATTATATAAAAATTGATCAAAACCAAACATCGAAAAGGATATTACATTATTCATTATCAGATATTTATTTTGTTTTATTGTTTATCATATAAACAAACCAAGTTTATTTTTAGAATGAAAATGCCAAATTTGATTTTTATTTTTTAGTTAATTTTTTTTTATCATATAATAAAACTAAGTTTATTTTTAGAATGAAAATGCTAAAATTGATATTTATTTAGTTATTATTAAATCAGATATTCAAGTACCTTATCATAAAAGGAAAAGCTCTTCTTTCGTTAAAAAAAGATATGAAACTACTCTCATAACAACATGATGTAAGGCATATTATTTTATTTTATTTTTACTATATTTATTAACTATATTATCAAGCTGAAATCGATCTATTTTCTAACATTATAGTCTTTAATAAATGAGTGAAATCAAAAGAAATGCACAAGTTTTAACTCTATTGAAGCATACTTTAAATTTACAACAGTAAGTCAAATTTGCATGCAGAAGTGGGTGTTAAACCAAAATTATCTTACGTTTCAGGATAGGAATATCGATTTGACTTGTTAGTGATCCAGGAAGGAAGCTCAGTAAACGTGTTGTTTGTCAGAAATCTAAGCAGGAAACAGCAACCCATCAGCGACGATGGCTAACCAGCTGTACATTATCATAAAACAACCAAATGACCCGTCTGATGTTTTAAACACATACAACTTAGTCAGGTACTGAAATGATTCCGGAATGTCACCATTTAAGTTGTTGAAGCTCAAGTCACTACAAGACGAAGGAAAATAGATAAACTTATATGGAATTACATATGAAGTTTGATGCATACAGACTTAATTGGGAATAGGAAAGAGTCAGCTGAAGGAAAGAGAAAGAATAAGCAAGAGCTATGTATTAGCCATAATATCAAGGAGTTTAACCATTTTTCTGTAAACTGGAAAAGTAGAAAGTCAAAGCACCTAATTATGGAACGACTACTTGGTATTCAGAGACAAGTAAACGTACAGATATATGAACCGATTCCACTTGCCAATATTTTCGGGTATTGAACCATTAATTTTGCAATTCCTCAAAACCCTGGAAAAACAATTGAAGAAGTGAGGGCACCCATATTTGTAGATTAACAACATGAATTTGTTGGGATAATAGTTGCTAAGGTCAAACTTCAGCTACTATTCATAGAGTTAGATATTTGAGATTGAATTTCATTTAAAAGATTTAAATCTTATGGTGAATGATCTTTTTTTATTTTTATATATTATTCATTATTGATTTAATTATTCAATATGAGATATGTGTTATAATATTATAAATGATAACACTATAAAAACACTCACACATAAGCCAAACTTTCTGATATATTTTTATCTTCTGGTAAAGATATTCCAGGATTGCTTACGTCACTGATCATCCTGGAATCATAGAACCATATCTTAGAATTCTTTATTCAGAAAACAACCTATTTCATTCCAATCTCATAAAAAAAAAAAAAAAATGATGACTTCATAGAACTGCACATACAATGTCCTTAATTTTGGTAGAGTGAGAGTTTTTGGAGGCAGAATTCCGTTGAAATTATTTCCTAGAAGAATCCTGACAAGTACACAATTACACATCAGTTGAATTGAATTGCTTAGCTTGATAATTTTAATTCACTCCTCTATAGACCATAACATTTAATTTTACTTACAGTTTGGTGAGTTTGATCCACTCTCCAAAATAATTAGGTATGGGACCAGACAAATTGTTTCCACCAATTGCACTGCAATGACCCAAAAGCTTGATTTAATGATAACAAACCCTAGAATTAAAGAAATTAAATTGCTTGAGGAAAAAAAAAGATATTAAGGAAGAACTTACAACGTTTCTAGATTGACAAGATTGGAATATGTGTCAGGAATACTTCCGTTGAACTTGTTTGATGTCATGTAGCTGCAATAAATTACGTACGCAGGTGGAAGACAAAGATACGACAACTCAACTTTTTGACCCCTTTACAATTGCAAGATGAAAAAGCTTTCCACATGATTATAAATAAAACGGAAAGAAACTTACATGTCTGTCAGATTGACCAAATACCCAAGCTCCTTTGGAAGGTTTCCCTCCAGATTATTGTCATCCATAGTCCTTTTTTCGAAGGAAAAAAAATACAAATAAGTAGATAATTTATAATACACTTCAAAGAGAAACTAAAAGAAGTGATGAGTGTATTTTCATACAAAAAAGTGAGTGCAGAGAGGTTTCCTAGCTCGGGAGGAATAGGGCCTGATAACAAGTTACTATAAAGAATCCTGCAAATGGAATGATGTAATGTATAAGTGCAATCAACAAGCATAGGATTATCCATGTATTGTTGTAACTTAATAATTAGTAGTGAAGTTTCTTACAGAGATTGTAGTGAAGAAATTTTGCCCAGACTTTTAGGTATAGTACCAGTCAACACGTTGAGCCGGAGATTGCTGTGACAGGACGATTCACATATAAACTAATCCACCCACTTGTATTACACACATATATATAAATTAATCTTAAGATTTGTTAATCGACATTTATTACTTTCTTTGCATGCCTTTGTAAAATTTATTTATTTGATAGTTATAATATGAGATATTACAGATAAGATTGATTTGTTTCAGTACAAATGGAGTTATGGAGTTCAAAATTTTGTTAATCACCAAGTTGTAAGACTTACATGTAAGTCAATGCTTTACAATCACCTATGCTTTTTGGTATCGGCCCACTCAATTGGTTCCTTGAAAGATCCCTGCGTCAGATTGGGAGGAATGACACCATCAAAATCGTTCTCAAGAAGCTTACTGTTCGAGTGATGTCACCACACGTCCCCAGAAAAAAAAACACTTAATGGATTGAATTATTTACTTCAACGAGTATTAGTAATAAAATAATCAACTAACACGTTTTAGTTATACTGTTAGAAAATAATTATTGAAGGCAATTAAATAAATACATGCCTTTGGTGGACTTTGTTTTCAATAGCTTTAAGAGTTCTGCAATATCACTGTTTTTTCTTTTTCCCAAATTAGCACAGAATTCTACCTTTTTTGTTACATATATATATATATATATTATGGGCTCAAGAGGTCTTGTCTTTAGATTCATAAAGACTAGGCATGATATATATATATAAACCAAGATTTATTCTAAAATCTTGAAAAATAATTATTGCTGTTTATTTTTTGTTTCTTAAGACAACCTTATAAAATTATTTAGTATATCATCATTCCTTTTTTTCTCTTTGTCTAATATATTCTTTTAAATAATTTAAGTTATTAAAAAAATTACAATATAGTATTAAATATTAAAAGATTCAAATCCAGTACATAAATTGAAGTAAGTTTACATATCATTTAAAATTCGTTTTAATTAAATAAAAATTGAAAATATAAAAGATGTTTAAATAGTAATAATGAATAAGTTAAAATCTATCACATAAATCGAATTAATTTTTAATTTAATTTAAATTTAGTTTTAGTCGAATCAAATATCAACAACGCTTAAAAAATTATCATAATTACAGATAATTTATATATAATCATTAATGGTTACAATTTAATGAACATGGTTTAAAACTAATCTCTTGTGCATAATTTACATAACATTTTTTAATAATCTAATATTAAAAGTACTAATTTAAAGGAAAGTTTAAAATAATCTTTTCAACATGTTCTTAACCTCAAATGACCAAGTCTTATAGCAGCACGAAACTACTCATACTTAATTGATTTAAGTTATATAATTTAAAAATATTTAGTTGTCATAAATCACATCATAAAAGATCTCAATCTAATAATTTAATAGTTAATAATCTATCAATTTAATTTGAAAAATATATTATGCTAAAAAACTATGAGCACAATATGATATAATAAAGAACATGCATCCTAATATCATAGAGTTTGCTCTATGTAACAAATTATACAAAAGCAGAAAAAAACGTAAAAACCGTTGACTGCAAACTACTCCTTCGAATTTACACCAACTTCTAAATCAATTATCAATGATTAAAAAACTTTAAATTACACAAGTTAAATATTAGTTTTTTTCTTTATCCGTCTAAAGGTGTAAAAGCTTTTTTAACACAGGACTTACAGAACTCCCAGACCACGGATCGATGTTAGGCTAGCAGGTATAGAACCGGTCAACATATTGTATGAAAGGTCCCTGATTTTTTTTCACAAAACCATTGCACCGTTAGAAATAAGCAGATCTTATGCCATCATTTAACTAGAACCATGAAACAATGCTTTAACCTACAATTTTTTGAGACTTTGCAAATTGCTCAGTGAGGACGGAATCACACCATGAAGCTGATTGTTTGATAGATCGCTGTTGTGGCAATATCATCGAACATCAGTTTTAACTATGGTGAGCACTATGCTATATGTACCGCTTTATGCAGTGAGTAGTAGTGATGATACTTACAGTACTTTCAAGTTCTTAAAGCAACCGGCTGAAATAAAGGGAATATATCCGGTCAAACTTTTGCGTCTGAAGTTTCTGTCATATAAATTGAAGTAATTTACATAGAGGAATTATTTTTGAACAGTTAATTTCATGCAAACTTTCTCTTAATTTTTTTCTCTTTTCTTTTCTATTGTTTTGTTTTGCAAATGACAAACTAATTCTATAATCAAGTTTTGAGCTTACATTTTGGTGATGGAACAAGCTTGAGTTTTGTTATCACAGGAACAATAGATCTGAGCGTCCGTGTCGTTTGAACAATACGGAAGCAACGGGACATACGTTATTCCATTGGACTGTAAACTTTTGATGAGGTATCGAAGAGCCATGTCTGCCATTTCAACACAAAAGTTCCTTTCGATTAAATCCCACTAGATTTAATATAATACATAAATGGATTAAAATAACCAAGACTGAATATATCGAGGATTTATCCAAAAAATGAAACTAGATTAAAATTATCAAAGAACAATCAATCCAAAATTTTCTATCCTCATGCTTTACCTCTATCCTGCATCAATTAGTAATTAAAGTTTGGTCGAATTTAATTCTAGACACACAACTAAACATTTATTCAAACATCTTTGCAGGAATAAGAGATCGATTAATCTGTACCTTCGACAGGTATAGGCCGATAATAGGAAGTAGCACCAGTGCCAAGCTGCAGGAGAAGAAGAAAGTTAAGGAGAAGGAGGCTACTAATGAGTACTCCTGCACATTGAGAACCCATTGGCTTGGGCATAACTGTACCTCTACTGTAGGGGAGTTTCCAAAGGCAAAGGGAGAAGATTCAGAGAAGATAAACTTGCAAAAGGTATCGAGCAAATTGAATAACAATGTATTTATAACATTTGGGGATTGTTGAGAAAGGAGAAAGTTGGACATAGGACACACATTACGTGTCTTATAACACATATCTCACATTGAATAGTTAAATCAATAATAAATAATATATAAAGTTGAGAAGTGATCACCAATCACAAAGCTTAAGTTTTTTAGATGGAACTCAACCTTAGTTATTTTACTCTATATAGTATCGAGCCTCAAGAGGTATAATGATCCAAGCAAAGATTCTAATAACGTGAAAGATTAAAAAAAAAAGAAGAAAAAACTAAGAGTCTAACTACCTTGAACTTTTAAGTTCATTTGACGTTTAGTTTTGAACTTTTTTATTGAATTTAAAAATGTCTAGACTTTTAATTTTTTTTAAAAAAATTTAACGTATCTTTTAGTTTTTTATCATTTATTTTAAAAAATAACAATCATATGAATATTTTTATGATACTAATCATTCAGTGAGATTTATGGGAGGATCCTTAAAATTTTTTGGATCATTCCAGAGTAATTTTTTTTTCTAATTGTTAATATTTTTAATGTTTAATCAATTTTGAAAAATTCTAGAATTTTTCAAAAAAATGGACCAAATTTTTTCCAAGTATATGCAAAATTTTAGCTTAAAGTACCAAGAATTGAATTTTTTAGATAGAAAAATAATAGTTAAAAATCATTAAATGAACTAAATATGAAACAATTAAAAGTTCAAAAACCTTCAAAATAAAAATAAAATAATAATAATAATAATAACAATAAAGTTCAGATATTCAAACTTAAATGATTTAAAGTTCATTAGTGACTAGACCCTTTTAGCCGAGAAAGTGAGAAATAGCATATGCAAAATATGGACTTGATGTGCATATGGTAGCCGCAATAAATGTTGCCTCTTAAAGTACTATTTCAATAAAAAATTTTATTAAATATTTTATATTATTTTTTAACACATTTCAGTTAAAAAGTTTAAGTTTGAAACTTGAACATTATTAATAGATGATAAGGTTTTAAATTGTGATAATTTGGTTACCAAAATACTAATATCATGTAAAAATTCTAAACAATTCAAAAATTTGAATGAAATTTTAAAAATAATTTTATATTATTATTTGGCGTTAATGAAAGAAGTTACAGATAAGAGTAATGGCACAGAGATTCCATAATGGAAAAAGGAAACTAATCAATTATGGCCAGTGTCTTTAGGAAGAGCCGACCAAAATCTTCAAGGCAATTAACGTTATTATATCTTTCTTTAAAAGAATAATTTAAAATCTTTGATTATTTAAAAAGAAAAATAGTGAATAACCTTTTTTATAGCGAATTTAGCACCACCCTTTGTCATAACAAACTTTTTAAAATTGTTTTCATATGTAATAAGATATTTATTGTAGAGTTAGATAGTTAAAATTGTATTTTATCCAAAAAATTTAATTCTTATAGTGGTCGATAATTCCTCAATTTTATATATTGATCATCTTTGATTTAATTATTCAATGTGGTATATGTTCATTAACACTCTCTCTCACTTGCAATTCATTTTTTAACTCGTCAAGTGACTTAAGTTTTAGGATTTTTATTAGACTATTGTACCTCTTTGAGATTCCGGTACTATATCAACAAATCATTTCAATTCAAAAGCCTAAACTTTAAGACGAGGCTTCAAGAATAATTTATATTATTCTCTAACATATCTAACATGTAACCCCTGTAAAAACCCTTATCCGTAACGCGACGTGTATTAGAATAATTCTATATATATGTATATTAAGAGTAAGTGTAATTATCATTTCATCATGAGAATAAGAGTAAGTGT